TGGGGCATCCATCGAGATGAGGTGCTGCCCACTTTGCGCTGGAACCGGAAGATTGGAGATGTGGTTCTCGAAGGGCGATTTGTCCACTCAAAAGACGAGAACCTGTGGCGTCTGGTGGAGGTCAACAAGGAGACAGGCACTGAGAACTGGGCAGGTTTGATGTCAGTGTATGTGGATGACATTTTGGTGTCTGGAGAACCACAAACTGTGAAGTTGGCCATGGAGGCGATTCAAAACACGTGGGCACTATCGGAGGTGGAATGGGCTTCTGACAAGCCTCTGCGCTACTGTGGTTTTGAGATCAGTATGGGTGCTGCTGGAGACGGATTCTATGTGTCCCAAGGCATGTATGAGCAAGAGTTGATGACGAGATGGGACATTCAGGAATCACTGCAGTACCCTGCCTTCAAGGTCACTGAGGATGATGAGCAGTTTGTGGGGGAGATCGACCCAAATGATGTTCGCACTGCCCAGATGATGACTGGTGCGCTCCTATGGCTCTCAACCAGAACCAGGCCAGATTTGGTTTTTGGAGTTTCAGCAATGAGCAGGCTGACAACGAAGAATCCAAAGAAGGCGGTGGAGATTGGGTATGTCTTGCTCAAGTACCTGCATGGAAATCCTGGTGGAATGCACTATCCACAAACGATTCCTGGAGGTGATTGGGGCCGCCGAGACCAACTGAAAGCAAGACGGCACCAGAAGATGCTGGAAGTTTTTTCAGATATCTCCTATGCTGCAGGCGCTGACCACAAAAGCATCCAAGGCTTGGTGGTGTACTATGCGGGAGTTCCGATAGCATGGCAGTGTGGAATCCAACCTTTTGTGGCGCACTCAACTGCAGAGGCTGAGCTCATCGCATATTGCGAGTCTTTGGTGGTTGGAAGGGCAACAGAAGCGCTTTTGGCAGCCATCTGGCAACAGTGGGATTTTGAAAAGGTCATCTATGGTGACAATGCTGCAGCAATCAATTTGGCTCACGGTGTCACGACGGCATCCTGGCGCACACGCCACCTCAGAATCCGGGCCAGTGTGCTGAAGGAGGCCCTGGATGAGTCAAATCAAAAGCTTGGAAGAGGATGGAAGCTCTTGCACCTCAAGGGCACGGAGCTAGTTGCTGATGGATGCACCAAACCTCTTCAAGGCCAAGCTTTCACGCAGTTTGTAGATGATCTTGGTTTGAGGAGAACAAGAAGGGAGCATCGATCTGTTCCTGAGAACAGACCTACTGCTGGTGGTGAACACCATGGTGCTGCAATGCGAGCGTTGGTGGTAGGTGGCACGTTGCTCTCTATGGCTGAGGCTTATGATGAAGAACCGGAGGCCGAAGGAGATCTCACTTGGGTCTGGGTGACGGGAGCCGTCCTTATGGCTATGGGCGCAATCTATGCTGGGCAGCTGCTTCATAGCGCATCGAAGTTTTGCCTGCGACGATTGCGAATGTCGGAGGAGGGTGGAAGTCTTAGACCGGAGCCGAGAAGAGAAGATGTCAGCTCTTCGGAAGAGGAACGTGGTGTTTCAACTGGCACTACATCATCGAAGGCGAGACCACGCTCGGGCATGCATGGTGGTGCTTCTGCAGGTGCTTCATCATCAACATTGAGGCCACGTTCGGGCTCGCATGGTGGTGATAGCATGGATGAGGATGAAGCTACATCATTGAAGACTGGGCGACGGTCGGGCTCGCATGGTGGTGAGTCAGCTGGCGCTACACCATTGAAAATGAGGCCACAGTCGGGCTTGCAGGGTGGTGGGTCAGCTGGCGCTACATCATTGAAAATGAGGCCACAGTCGGGCTTGCAGAGTGGGGGCAGATCTGGTGCTACATCATCGGGGTCAGTGCCACGCTCGGGCTTGCATGGCGATGGTAGCTCTGGAAGTGCTACATCATTGTCGACGATGCCACGGTCGGGCTCTGCAGCGGGCGATCCTGCTGCGATCATTGCAGCGGCCGAGGTAGGTAGGGATGAAAGTCCAGGTGCCAGCCTAAAGTGGCAGGAGAACCCCTGGAATGAATTTCAAAAGGCCTACAAGGGAAAGGGCCTCAATTCTACAATTTTGTCCAGGCTGTACAAGAGCCATAAGGACCGATAGCTTTAGATGCCTTGAGCCTACAAGGTGCTTTGGTGAGAGCTTTTTTCCTCCTGGGTTTTTTGCCATGAAGGCAAAAAAGGGGGAGCTCGTGTAGCTAAGAACCTTCGAACATACATGGACCATCTGTAGGCATCTTTTGATCGAGAAAAGGCCGTATTGTGCCTTGGGATTTCCGAGTATATATATACATCGTTTGCATCCTCATTTTGGGTGACTACATCCCCATTTTCGGCGCTCGTAGCCGCGTTCTACGGTGGCAGTCCCATGTAGTTCCCACTGATGATTGAATCGCGATATTAAATCATATCAAATCACTATTTTGAGTTGTTAAATCCCTATTATAACACTATTTTGAGTGGATGATGACACTTATCTCCACCCAGAATATATGATATATATATATGATATTATATATATATATGATATTATATATATATGATATTATATATATGATATTATATATATATATATGATATTATATATATAATATTATATATATATATTATATATATATGATATATCATATCAATATGCCACTTGGCTCTCCCACTTATTCCATCCCGGCCTCCCCTTTGACCTCGGGCGTGGCCACATTGCCACCGACACCGCCTTCCGTCAACGACAGATTGGCCACCGTCGCCTGGAGGTTGGCGTTGGACATGTGGCAGTTGAAATGGTCATTAGTGATTAATGGTTAGCGGCTAGTGGTTTAATAGTGGTTAATAGTGATTGATAATGATATGATAATGGTGTGACTATGGTTAATCATTGTATAATAATGGTGAATGGTAAGGGGAAAACCATTGTCAATAGTGATTAATAGTTGTGAACAATGTTGAGACAGTGGTGAGATAATGGCAATCTCCCGGAACATATGCAGTGAATTGGATTACATAATGGCAAAAAGGTAAATAGCATTCAAGCAACCAAAAAAATGATAGAACAGTTTAAATCTTACTAAAATAATGGTAAAATCTATATATATATATACTGTTTCAATCTTGTGGGGGTTACAATACATGGGGAATAAAGCATGAGTAGCATGATGTTAAAAATTCTTCAAACCGGGTCTTGGTGGGTGAATATACCATCCAAAGATTAAAAGGCTAATATGATGTTCATGATCATGTCCTCTGTTCTGCTGGTTGATATCTGAATTCTCGTTTTTGCTTGTACAGGAAACTATCCCACTCTCCGAAGTACTGACCCTTCTGATATGATATGATGTTTGGATATCAAAGTGGCGCTCGCGGGAAAGCAAAAGTGGACTGTCCAAAAAAGAAGATGGGGCATACCACTTTGATGGCAATCTTCTTCATTGGCGAAAATCATGGATCAATGGATGTGAATCGATCAGTTTCTCAACAGACCACAGGGATGAAGGCCATGCTCCACTTGATCCTGGAAATCACTGAAGCCTTACTGGCTTTTTATCCAAGGTTGGTTTACCACAACCCATTTATGGATAGAAGTATTATCATAAACCCTAATGAAATTGGAGTTAAAGACCAAGTTAGCTTGGTATCATGAATCAGCTACATAATATAACACATACACATATATATATGTATATTATGTGTATATATATATATGTTTATGTATGTGTTTATTTATATATATATACATATATACACCAACTATAAAATGGCCATTTGTTGTTGGTTAAGATATCAAGAAATCTCCTTCGAGGTGACCCAGCCCCCCGGTGGTCGCCTGCTTGGTCCCCTGGGCGCCCTCTTTGGGTGCGGCAGCCACGTCCTTTTCCACGTAGCGATCCATGACATATCTGCGACGTGCATGGAGGGAGGAAGGATGTCGAAGATGGGTAAAAACAAATGCGTGTTGTATCTTCCATATATACATTTCCATATCTTCAACATATGATGGATATGATTTTACCCATCATGGAATGATGTTGAAGGGAGGTATAATTACAGTATGTCTATATATGTATATATGATATGTATCACCAACAAAAGCAGATGAGATCAACGGAAAATGATGGATCAGTGCCAGGGAGATCTGAGGAGAAAGTCATTGACGTTCTGCAAGACTGTCGATCGCCCTGAAGCCAACCTTCCAAAACTCCCTTGACTCTGATAGATAGGGCCAGATAGGGCCGAATTGATTGGGTTTATAAACATAAAAACATTGATAGTTTATAAGTAAACATCAATCCATGATCTCTCTATTTATATATATATATATGAGCAGTCTCGAAAACCCTAGGTTCACGGAAAGGACATTTTGGGAAGGTCCCATCGCTTCCCACACGTTTGTACAATAATGATATATGGTAAACTTGGGGGGTATCGCTTGCAGGAAACTGCTACATTTATATATATATATATGTACATATATATAATTCACAGAAATCGACGTCCAATTTGGGTATCGCTAATGTGGATATTAGAGAAATACAATGACATAACCTCGAAAGGGGGTATCGCTAATTTGGGAAGGTCCCATTGCTTACCGTGTGTTTTAACAATTTTCATCAATTTCCATACACCAATGTCCGTCCAATACATATTTAGTATTGCCGGGTTTTTTTGCGGTGGCTCAGATGTATATATATATATATGTAAATATATATATATACTGCAGTTCTTTCTATCATAAGGTTACTGTATCATGACCCCAGACCATCTCGCATCGCCACATCATCTCTTGGCCTCAACATCTTCTCATGTTTCTCCACCTGGGTTTCATACCCTCCGGATCCAACATGTGTCGAAGGAAGAGGGCCCCAATTTATGACCTCTTTCATGGGGAAAAGGGATGGAATCGGATGGAATGTGATTGTTTTCCATATGTTTATTCAGACGAGTCCAAATGATCCAAATGTTTAGTAAGTGGGTACTGTAATAATCCATGTTGATCCATGTTAATCCATGTTATCATCTTTATCCCCAGTCGTGACCGACATCGAAGGGCCCCACCAAGTCTTTCAAGGCCGAAATCTCTGCGCGCAGGTCGTTCACCTTTGCGGATGAAACACGATGAACCCCCCAAGTTCTGGCTATTTGATAGGGAAAGTGATGATTAACCAATGGATGGAATGGGGTACCGCAAATTCCCGACACGACCCATATTCGAAGCCTCTTCTATTTGATGAGGGCTTGGAAAGTGGTGGATAGACGTTTCAAGAATAATAAAGCATATATTTGCATAAATTAGACGAATTCTTCCATCTTAGTGTCCTCGAATATAAGAGCTGCTGGTCAGCACCAACAGCATGAGCCGAGAAGGGAGCAGAAATGGGGGGCCATGGTAACCACTAATTTCAAGGGGATGGATTTTTCATTGCCCCTGGCACTCTGAACCTGCGACGGGCTACGCAACTCTGGTGATGTCGTAAAAGTCTGTCGAAAAAAAGCCACCCGAAACTCACCGAAACTCAGTTCCCGGGCAGAGCTTTTGCCACCTGATCTCCAAATACAAGTGACAGTGACGGAGGGATCCAACCATTGAAAAAATACAATTTAATATAAGTTAATCATAGTTAATCATGAAAATGTCGGTTTCATAATGAAAACTGATGTGTTTAAGCATGAACAATGGGGGGTTTATCCAACAAACACGAGAATTCACCTAGCAGAAGAAACCATTTAACCAAACAAAATGGAGATGTGACAGATACCAATAGAAACCAACTCAGTGCTGGGAGATGTAGAGCTGAATCATGCTTAGTTTGTGCATTGAACCACCCTTTTTGGCAGGTCATGTCTACTTCAGTCAAGACCTGAAACCCTCCAAACTTTCCTACGTGGCTAGTCATTTTGAAAAGGTGGACGCCTCCAATTTTGGGGATCCCACTGACTCAACCTATTTTCAGTTTGGTACCTGAAAATAGGGAGTACCTCCAGTTGTGGCCATTGAATATAGGGAAACTGTGATTGACTATCAAATTTTGGGGCTATCCTATTTTCACACAAACCAAAATCCATAATTGTATGCCCACTCTTGATGATAAGACCATCCATAAATTCCATTGGCTTTCATTTGCACCGCTAGTTTGATGTACGTAGCCAAGAATCCTGTTGTATGCCAGCGATTGTTGATCAAGATTCAGCGCGGTTGTATATGGATTGTCCATACAGCACAATGAGGCCCCCCCAGTTTTAAAGTTGGTTTATAAACCCCATGAATACTATAGCGATAAGTATCATAAACCATAGTTGTCATAGTGAACTTGGAGGTATTTCAACCAACTTAAAGCGGTGTCGCTGCAACGGAAACCCCATACCTTGCAAGGGACAACGCATCCCCCAGCGCCTTCCTCTGGCGCCGGGGACTCCTCTTTGGCCTGCCGGTCTTTGGAGGGCAGAAGGACTTCAGCCAACGGGACTTCGGCAGGACGTGGGGATGTGAAGAATGTGTTTAATAATGGCTAATTATGGTTAATAATGGTTAACCATGGTTGATTTCTTGGTTTTGTAAATGGCGAATAGCATTTAATCTGGGAAAACCTGGCTGCCATAAACTGACCATTTGGGGATGTCTCGAATACCACACATCGAAATGGTGATGACTTGGGGATGGTTTATGGCATTGGGATATGGGCCATAGATCAATGGTTTTTCCATGGACACCAGCTATTATTTTGATGTGAACAGAAGGGGATCAGGTGTTTAATTCATTGTCATAATTGTCATCCACGTGGTTCCATCTCAGGCTTCTTGCTAGAAAAATAGTATGTCAGTCTGTGCAAGTTGAAATCCCATCATTTTGCGGTTGTATATTATGTCTTTTCTTGGATTGTGCATTATCCCCGACCCCAACCCCTCAAGTTCTACCAGCATTTTGCCTCTTTTGCACTCAGGAAAATCACCATTTTTTTACATCTAAAATCATCGAACCAAACCGGCCATGGCTTCCAGTTTGCAAACTGTCAAATTACCAGAGGGTGCTTGGAGCAGTTCCAGTTAGTAAGTGGTTGTAGAACCATAGTTAGAAAGGTGTTGTCCCAACTTATTGTGTTTTTAATCCAATTATTATACCATATTATACCCATAAAAGCAACCTCAACTGCACCGCACTGATATTTCCATGATATTCCTCATTTAATTCCCATTAATCGCTATATGAAATCCTCATTTTCCATCAATATTAAATCCCCTTGTTCCACTAATAACCTTCATTGTTCCCTATATATTCCTATGAATGCCTGAATCCATGGAATAGTTATTTTCCATTGATACGCCCATCCCTGTTATATTCCTATTCTATTCTCTATTACTCCCTATTAACTTCCCAGTAATGCCTATTGGATCCCAATTTTCTATGAATACTTCCCATGATATTCCCCGTTCCCATGATGTTTCCCCATTAATCCCTATTAACTTACCATGAATTCCTATTGACTTCCCAATGTAATCCCATTAATATTCCCTATTACAGTAATTCCTACTAATCCTTATTATATTCCCTATCAACTTCCCATCACAATGCCAACCAACTTAATCCCCATTATAATCCCATTCTTAGTCCTACTATATTCCCCAACTTCTCAAACCACCCATACACAACGCACCCCACCTCCGAGGCCACATTGATCACGGCCGCCGCGGCGGCAGACAAGGCCGCCTACATGGAGGACCACTCTGGGAGCGGCTTGGGACAGGGTCCACAACGGCCAGGCCAAACAAAAAAAAAACAAGCAAAAATGGGGAGTTAACCATGAAAAAACTTGTGATTTTACCATGAAAAATGGGATTCAACCCAAAAAAAATGTATATGAACCAACAGACATGATGATTCTACCAACAGGAATTTGGATTTCACACATTCAAAAACCAGACCAAAGGGGAATTCAACCAGATAAAGGTCGAATTGAACCAGGAAAAATGGGGAGTTCACCCAAATAGGATCTGACTGGCCAAAATTATCACCAGCCCTGGAGGCTGCAAAGTGGTGGGTGCACAAAACCTTCCTTTTTCAGTGGGAAACCCTTCGAAACCCAGCTGGGCTTAACGGCTTGATTGACAGGACAACATAGGAGAACTCTACTTGCGATCTCTACCTGCTATATATGACCCCGTAATCCGACATAGCAATGAAAAGTCAACCATTTATAGTGTTTTTCCTATTATAAACATCATTTTTAAAAAAAAATCTATATAGAGGATTTCCGATTGCCACGTTTTATTACCAAGGGGAACCAAAAGAATGCTATCTACCAATTTGCTGCCTGTAGCCCATCATAGACCATACACCAAGATCGGACGCGCGTGAGGGTTCCAAACCTTTGGCACCCCAGATGTTGTTTTTTCCCCCTCTTCAACCTTTTGTAATGGTGGATTCTTGGGTTTCATCCTCGAAAAGGGATGGTTTGGTCCATTTTAACATGCCACAAAGATTAAAAAAATACAGTAGATTTCAATAGATAGTTTTCGGTGAAAACCTCAGGGGTTCTCCAACTTTGATTCATCAAAACCATGGTTTCCAGTTAAAATTTTCCAGTTTTCCGGTAAAGATTCTCCAATGAACCAATCCACGGCTCCCAGTTGTGTTGCAGCGATCCCCACCTGGCCATTGGGTGCGGATTCCTCTGCAAGTCGCTGGTGTTGCAGGTATAGGAAGCCACCAACCTGACGGACACCCATGAAGAAAAAATGGAGAAAACATGGGTACCGGTACAGAAGTGGTCTATTTCTCTTACTATTTCATGGGTGTGGTACTCATTTATATTAATATAATGTGTCTTATATTGACATATAATGGTTTTTATATTGATATCATGGGTGTATACAATGGATATGTAATATGATATGATGGATATATTACCATCATTTACCATCTATAGCTATTATGTGGTTGGGAAACTCAATTTGTAGCTGCAACTGGCTCCCCATTTAGGGAAAACTGATACCCATAGCTCCCTAGCACCAGATAGTTTGGATGGATGTAGAACCAACAACCAATTCGGTAAATGGATTGAGTCAACAAGTAAGTGGGTATGATGAGATATGAACCAACAAAAAAATTGGGGAAATGAACCACTGAACATGCAGATATTGGGGGTCAATTAATTTTTGAGCGAGAAGAATGGGGACATTGACCAACTATGGTGGCAATTCAATTCAACCAACATGTGGATCCAATCAACCAAATTTCTGGATAGAACCGTCATATCACATCTGTGAAAGGGCTACAGTAGCGGGCCCGGCAACAAAGTAATTCGAGGACCCATGAGCAGGCTGGCCATTTAAGGATATGCAGCAATGACCCATGTCCAAATGATATAAATGAATGTCGGAAAAACAAGGGAGCGCCCTTGTAAGATTCTTCTGTGCATTGGTTGCAATGATCCTGCCAAAGTCGAAAAAACATGAAAAAACAAGGAAAAATGATTAGTGGCAAAGCCAATTGCAACTCCCCAAAGTTTCGAGGTTTATCATGGACCCAAAATCCCACCCCAGGCGACACATCAAGGCCCCGCACCAGGACGGTAAAAACGATCAAGGCCCAGAGCCCCGTTTGCAGCGAACACATGGGCCTGGGCCGTGGGCCCAAGTGGACGACTGTTGAGGTGCAAAACCCCTACCCTTGATGGGATGTAAAACCATAATCTCTCCAAAATTTAAGGGATTGCCCAAAATGTCAATTCTATACTGGGAAAAATGATGATATCTAATCCTTTGGAATTGGAAGTACAGTACGCAAATTTCAGGCAAGCCCAAATGATGGCTGACCCGGTATTCATTGCGGTCGGAGCACAACGGACCAGTTTGACTCATTTTGGTGATTTTTGCAGGTACCCGATCAGAATCTTACAACAGAATAATGTGTTAATGCAAACATATATATATATATATATATACTTCAGGAGGAACAAAGTTTGTGCTTCTTGAAATCTTTACAAAACATCCATCTCGGTCAACCGCGGATCACGTTTCCAAGTCCTTTTTGTGTTCCTCTTTTAAATCACCCTCTTTTAAATCTATAAGAATTTAAAGCTTTTGGAGGGTGGAAATGCGACCAGGGTACGACACAGCTCCATACTAGGATTCTAGGGGAAAAGGTGTGTAGAAGAAGAAATCAAACATGTTCACTGTCGGAAGCTCAACAAGCGCAACTTGTGTCCTACCAGTGTATACACATACACATTGTGTGTGTGTATATATATATATATATTATACCCCATATAAATTGCAAAATATAGAGATATGAAATCTTGTGGGGGTTTCCCATCGCAAAGCCCGAGTGGATCCTGTCCTATCACCCCAAAGCATTTCCAGCCACAAATGTCGCAGGCCTGGCTTTTGCGGCAGGCGCCTGACGCGCAACGTGTTCCGAAGTTGGAGTAATCTCATCCCCCCGTTCCTATTAAACACCCCCATTCTATGTTCTCAAATGTGTGAATTCATCACTGCCATCCACCATGGTTTCTGGGGGGTGTTTAGTATTCGGGGGAAGGGACTATCGTTTAGAAACCATCAAAATTGTGATTTTACCATCAAAAATGATGATTATTTAATATTATCTAAACAGCAAGAATAGGCAAAAACTGGGAATGCAACCATCAACAAGTGTGATTTAACCAAATCTGACCGACCTAAGTGCGGACAATCTGCAATTGGAGTAGCATCGACAACAAAACAAAAGAAACACTAGTTGAACAAAAAATGTACAATGATTCAATGATTCAATGGTTGGATCGTAATTTAAGTCATATGGTATGATATGTATAATATATATATATAAGTTAGAATGGCCCTTGCCCATCTTCCCATCCTCCACAACCGCAAACATACAGACAACATTTCAAAGCAACCAACCCCCATAACATCACACAAACAAATCATAACAACCAAAGCATACCCATAAACCAATAAGAAATCAATCAACCAAACAACACAAATAAATCAGAACAACCAAGACATAACCAAAATCCAATGAGTAATCAATCAACCGAGACAATAACAAAACCATAGCAACAAGCAATCATCAAAACCAAAACAACACCCCATCACAAAAATTATTCAACAAACCAACCAATAAGATTGTTGAATAATCCATGCCAAAAAATATTCAATGAACCAATCAAAATACAAACAACAAACCATCATAGAATTAGGGGGCAAGGTCTCCCTCATAGAAAACAATATTTCAAAAAAAAAAACATAAGAACCTCCCAACCCCATAACCTTGTCCATTCTACAACCAATATCCTAATGAGGTGTGGGGTAAGACCCTAATAGAAAAAACCCAAAAACCCATAACCCCGAACTGGGGGATGTCGGACTTTCCTCATTTTGGTCACGAGCGCGCTGCTCCACTTCACTTCGGAAGGTTCTGTTCAAAGCACACGACCCATTGCTCAATCTTCTCAGCCATCTCTGGCTGTTTCACTGTCTGCACAGTCTTCCACTTATCAAACTGAAACTGCGGAACGACAAAGAAGAATTTGGCTTTGCTGTCATGCTTCTTGCAAAGTGCATCCACAATCTTAGACGCCTGCGTCTTCGTCACGTCCATTGCCTTGCCACTGTCATTGAAGGTGATGTCATGTGTATCGGCAATCGTCAGCTGAAAAACGCCCTGTGAGGTCCATGAGTCAAAGGCAGGAAAGTTTTTGCTCTGCGGCTGGTAGTATTCGCCATCCTTGATGTCTGCTGCGGGATTGCCCGAAATCAGCACTCCTTCAAGACCACCTTGGAGTTCCTGTGTTGTATCAGACCCCTTCCCCTCAGCTGTCAAGCATCTGGCTCGGAGCTTGAACTTGCCGATGGACTTGTCCTGCATGAACTGGTGGAACTCTTCCTCAAACAATGCAAAACCGATGCCAGTAATAATTCCTTTCCGCATCCTTTTCCAAAGTTCTTCGGAGTTGTCCTGTCTATTTTGCTTCACCAGCTCTTGCCGAACATAGGGAGACGACAACTGCACATCAAACCAGCTGAACTCCCGCTTTGGGTGCATCTTCACCAGCAAATGCGTCGTCTTGCTTATGGCTTTCATGTCAGACGATACTTTCAGGGATTGCAGCGCATCTGCTGACTGCACGGCCTCAACGAGCCTCTCCTTGTCATTCTCTGCCCTTGTCTCGTCCCTCTCCAAAACAAGCCTCGCAGTGCCACCAAAGATGCCGAAGCGTTCCTTGACAACCTCCTCATTCAGCTTGTGTAAGGCCATGACCTCTGCACTCAGCATCTCCGTCAACGTCCATGGTGGCATAAAGCACTGCCCAGAAAAGCGCTCGGCCTTCTTAAAATGTTCGGTGTTGAAAGCCGCTGTCTCCGGCCTCCGCGCAGAGGTAATCCACAAAGACTGGCAAAAGACCCCATGTTCCACATCAATGTCGGCATCCATGATATACAAAGCTTGTGCAGGCGCTGACCTCAAAGTCTTGACATCCACCTCTTTGGGCTCTTTGCCCTTCTGAAACAGATGGATGATGTCCCTCTGGTGCAGAAAAACTGGGAAGTCTTTAAGCTCACTGTCGTGGAAGCGACGCCAGATTAAATATACCATAAAATTGGACTTGCCGATCCCAGACGAGCCCAGCAGCGACATCACGGGGGTTTTTTCTTCAACATGATGTCGGCAATTTCTGTGTAGCACCCCCGCACGTAGAACTGCTTCTCGTCCCAAATTTCAGAAACGTTTTGCAACTTGAAACTGCCCGTTTCCGTTCTGAGAATTTGCCCTTCCAGCTCTGCATCATCCAAAGCTCGTGCGAAGGCCTTGACATTCTCGGGAACATCGCTCTGAACCTGAAACCAAGCAAAGCAGCCACAGAAACATAAACGCTATCTCACATCAACGAGAAACAAAACACAACGAACTCGGGCTACGACTAAAACTAATCTTTGCCGAGAAACGGGTTGTGGTTGGGTAATGCCCTTCTGAATGCGGTCATAAAGGCTTTGGGCCATGATCATCCGCTGTGCATCATCTGGGAATGTCTGTTGCAGCGCACCCAGCAAACTCTCTCGAGAAGCCTCCACCAAGGCCGAAGGGCTGTAAAATGAGAGCGCCTTGGCCATGTTGTCTGAGACGCCTTTATCATACCCCAAATCACACATTTGCTCACGAATCCAGTTTGGCACATCTTCACGTTGTACTTCTGACAGTTTCCGTCTCTTCGTGCTCGGGATTGCAACGGCCATGGCTGAATTAACGCACAACGGGAAGGACATAGCGCCGAACACGAGCATTGCGCAAGGCAACCATTGCTACAACAAAAGTCTTGAAAAGCAACAGCTCGTATTCCTGCCACAGCTCTTACTCCTCCTGACTTTGAATCATGATCTTACTTGAAGCATCAGCGCAGTGCAGTTTGATATTGTTGAGCCTTAACGACAGTGATGGCAAGCACTGGAAGCAACAACACATCAGCATGAACAAGCCTTACACCTTTCACAATTTGTGGCGTAAATAACCCCTCTTATCATCATCTAAATAGTAATAGTTTTGTCCTATTTTCTTGTCAATTTCTTCAAGTTTTGCCAGAACCAGTTTCACCTGTTTAGCGTATTTGTTGAATTTATCCATCAACTCTTTCATTTCAGTCTTGCTCTCATCTCCACTTGACATTACTATTTATTTATTTATCTATTTAGAAATTAATTTATTTAATTATTTATTTATGAGTTGGAGTTGATAGAACAACTACTCTTTAAATGGTTTCGTTTCAATCCATTTCAGACATCATCTGTTTTTTGCTGTTCCGTGGTGTATTCATAACATCTTTTATCATATCATTTCTATATCTTTCATCTTCTGTTGGAGGAGTAGTAATTCGATTGAAAGCAAACGAGATGCTGTGGTCTTGACTATCCAATGTAATCCCCCCTTCATCATCCTTACTGACATTCATAGTCTTATCATTTTTAGTCAGTTTGAAACTACACGGATTACAACGACAGGTTATGCCTTTGGGGTTGATTTCAATTTCGTTCCTCAACTGTAATTTTCCCTGACATAAAGGGCAATCAAAGATAATATTTTTGCTTGTTAGTTTTTGTTCCTGACTTAAACTTACCATTTTGGGTTCATCATCAGACAGTTCAAAATCCTCTGGAATAGTTTTTTTGGATTTACTGCTTTTCTTTTTCGGAGGCATCCTTTATATTATTGATTAGATAATGAATAAAACATTTTATCTTACCATCTTCCACAGGAAATTTAGTGTCGCGAATGCTCGCGAGGACTTCGTCCGAAGCGTCATCAATCAGGGTTTCTATATTCTCAATTATCTCTTCATCATCAATCACAACCATTACTATTAGAAAATAGTTTTGCTATGTTCTAATTATACTTGCGCTTGTGTAAATGAAAGAGAACAGGGTTGGGGCGCGGGTTCTCTCAAAAGCATGGCATCAAACTAATTCAAAAGTAAGACACATATTCAACTGTTTGTTGCGGGGAACTGAATTAACAGTCCTGATGCTCGTATGGCAGGTAAATGGCAGTCTGTTCCAAACCTTGCGACCCCTTATTCCAGCAAGATAAGATATGCCACTACAATTTATATTATAAATTTATTTCTTAAATATATTATATTATGAAAAAACTTGACATACCTAAGATAGAACCAATCAATGTAAAGCAGTATGAGTTTAAACAGTCTCAATACCCACAAGCGGATAAACTGCCGTTTAGGTCAATTATTGTTAGTGCCAGTCAAGGCGGTAAGGGTATATTAATTCAGAACCTTATTCTGAAAATATACAGAGGATGCTTTGAGAGAATATACATTGTATCCCCAACCGCTCACATAGATGAAGCATACAAAGAGGTAATAAAATACATTGAAAAAGAGTTAAAAATTGATAATAAAAAAGAACAATACTTATTTGATGAATATAATGCCGAAGCATTACAACATATCATAGACACACAGCACAAAGTCATAGAGTATCAGAAGAAAATGAAAATGACCAAGTTATTCAGTTGCTTATTGATTATAGATGATTTCGCAGAGGATAAAACTTTTATGAGATATTCTAAAATCCTTCACGGTCTATACACAAAATCAAGACACTTCGGACTATCAGTAATAACTGCCAGTCAGAAACTAAATGCCCTCGCGACGATTGTAAGAGTAAATACATCTTCATTATATATCTTCAAATTGAAGAATATGAAAGAGGTTGATACTTTTATTGAAGAACAATCAGCACTGGTTGATAGAAAGACCTTATATGAAATTTATAAAATAGCAACAGAAGAACCTTACTCTTTTTTATTTGTTAAACTTCGTATGAGTGATTTGAATAAGATATTTATGATTAGATTAGAGAAGGCAATTCATATTAATTGAAAATACATTTAAAGATTTAAGAACTTAAGAGATATTATAAGATAGTATGCCACGAAAACCTATAGACTACAGTAAAACACATTTCTACAAAATTGTTTGTAGGGATAAAGTGAAACAGGGGGTCGAACCGGAAACCCAAACAAAAAGGGAAAACCAATCCGGCAACACCTGCATCAAACAAACAACCAAACGCCTTTTCTCGAAGGCGCTTGAGCCACAAACGTCGTAGACGTGCAAATGACCCACCCAGGTTATTGTTAGGATGGAATTACACTCTACTCTAATTAGTGGCTACCCTACCTATGTAACGCTTCTACATAGGTAGTGCTGTGGCTGTACATATCGGGGATATCTACTTTGGGCATGATGGACTCATAGCTAAGGCATACCTCTACTAGACCTACCTGCACATGCTATACATGGTGGGGCTCAGGGGTCGATATATTTCAACTCCCCCCTCGCCTGTTCCACACGCACTGCGCATTGGCAGGCACCTAAGCAACTACTGTCGCGTGAACGGACGTTCACAGCGACCTATGCCTTGGATTTAAGGTCTAAGGGAAGGTCAGTACGAATACCTAATAGGATTAGTGCTGCTGCCCATTTGTGTGGAGGCAATGCCTTGGTGAATATGTCTGCCGCCTGATCGTCGGTGTGGGTGTACTCTATCTCGGCAGAGTCATCTCTGAAGACTTCAGACAGGCAAGACAAATTAACTTTATGTGTTCTAGTTATATGGCGAAGCTTGGGACTATATCCTTTCTTCACAACTAGGATTGTTGCTTGGTTATCTTCGTGGACCTTAAGGGTTACGGAGCGTGCAAGCAACAGCTCCCATAACTGTAAGGCAGGCAAGCCTTCTTGATAAAGCGAGTGGGCTAAACTAACAACCTCGCTTTCCGTGGTCGATCTAGAAGTGGATGTTTGGCGCTTGCTAATCCATGCAAGTGGGAAGAAGGAACTAGGGCCAGTTAAAACCAAAAAGCCACCAGAGGTTGAGCGTGCAGTGGATCTGTCGCCGGCGAAGTCGGCATCGACAAACAGTCTGAGCTCTAGGTCTTCAGGCTTGTCCTGAATGGTACCTACTAACCTGTAGTGTGGGGTTGAGGCTATATACTGGATTAATCTTAGGACCTTCTTATCATCCCCCCTGGACCACGACTGGACCTTTGTGGCCAGATCATTGATAGGCTTGATGATGTCGGGACGTGCAAGTCTACCTAACCAAAGGGCTTTCATCAAAATCTTACATGCGTTTGGAGCTAGTTCCCCTTTAGTTTCATCATCTTCAATGGTGATGGATCCCTCAGGTGGAAATGGCGTGGCGGCATGCTTGAGTTTGGTGACACCAGTTATTGACTTATACAAATCTACGGTCTGCTGAGCGTAGTCTGCCATATCAAAAACCATGCCATCTTGGGCTTGGAAGGCTGCACATTTTTCATGACCTTCGGTCTTGGAGAGTGGGGTAACAACATGGTTGCGTCCAAGAATCCTATAGATGGGCTCTGGGGGTTCAATGTCTACCACAGAGGTTAACTTACTCCAGAATGCATCATGCTGGTCGGCGGGGCCAGCTAGAGTTAAATCGTCTACATAAGTTGACAGAAGTAACTTTGTATCTGGGAAGTAAAAATTTCCTGGGTATTCTTGAACTTCCTGTCCACCAAGGTTCTTGATGATGACTTTCAAGTGTTGTTCCCACAGGCCTCCGGCATCAGGATGACCGTATAAGGCTTTAATTAAGAGGACTACGGGCTTAACAAACTGTTGTTTCCAATACTTAGGGCGGAGCTCCGGGGGAAGCTCAATCCAGGTTTTGTATTTGGAAGATAACAGTGCTTGGACGTAAGCTTTGACTGCATCTGCAGCCGTCGCGCGGTTACCCGGCAGCGACCCATACGCCAGGCAGGCGTTTAGCCCTTGGACGGAGGTGGGATTTGCGCCGAGTTCTTGGTAAACCGCGGCTGCACCATGTTCGTCCTTTGCGCAGTCTCCTCTGTACACAATGCGCCCCTTCATTTTGTGAAGGTGGTCCGCAAGCTCGTAGAATTTAATGGACGCGATGGTCATGAGTTGACCAAAGTGTACTGATACACCCGAAGCCTTAGCTTCTTTGCGTACATCTTCCTTTTCGCGGACCGAACCAAGATCCCAAGTACCAGCCTTAACCAAACCATCGGCTTCGGCGCGGATTGCCTCGAGGGCCTTGGGATTGGACAGCATCTCTGCACGGGACAAGAGCTTAGTGACCATAGCTTTGATCTCAGGCGTTGGCGCCTTTGGGTCTTCCAGGTGGAAGGCTTGGGCGATCAATTGTTCATGGTCAAGAAGTTCTGTAACCAACCTATTAGCGGTGGGGTCTGATTCAACAGCTAGGGCTAAATCTTCAAAACCAGCTAATGGGGATACATGCTTAAGGTGCTGCTCAATTTCCCTATGGGGTTGAGGCTCGCTAGTTGCCGGTCGGCAAGGCATAGCAGGAACGGACTGCTGGGCACATTTTGAGGGATACAAAGCTTGCGCAATTAAACTAGTCATTTGGGGCGGATACATTGCGGAGCGAGTGGTCTCAGCTCCCTCACATCTGGAATGAGGTTGCTGGCATCGGCACCGCATATCTTGAAACGCCTCTACAATTCGGGGAGAAGTGGTCTTGAGTTTCCATGGCTTTTTGATGGGATAACCATTTCTGTCGGTTAAACCTACGGTACACCCTTCAAAACCAACGGTCATAAACTGGGGATGTTTCTCAAAGAA